TTCAAGCCGTAGTCTAATCATGCAATGGAAGTGGAAACGTCGAAGAGGGAGCCTTACTCATTTCAAATGGTGGGAATCATGCAATTGGAGTGGAAACGTCGAAGAGGGGGCCTTACTCATTCCAAATGGAAGTGGAAACGTCAAAGAGGGAGCCTTACTCATTCCAAATGGTGAGCGGACGCCGTCTTCGCAGTTGCTGCGAGGATCTTAGGTTGGAATTTCCCTTATGGCTTCGTTCGTACTGGAGTTTACCTTATTGTAATATCTGTCTGCTATTTTACGGACGAATTCCTCCATTGTAGGGACGCAAGAATAACCCTCCCCCTCCCAAAACTTTTTAGGAAAGAAATCAAGTGGAACGAAGAAACGAAATGCCTGGGATCACTCTTGATAAGAAACTAACTTATAAACATCATATCGACAATATGTGTAAAAAGTTTAAAATGGCAAAAGCACAATTATACCCATCTATCAAAAAGGCCTCCAAATTCTTGCTGAATTTGAAAGAGAAGAAAACTTAACAACTCTTTGTTTTGAAATGTTCCTGACAGGACTGTACACTTTACCAGTAGTGCCTGGGATATTAGATAGTATGGAGCCCCCGGCAGATATTAAAGGTGGTGACCTGTAGAAAATTAAACTCGTCGCTATCACCAGATATAAAAGTACTTCCCTTTTTTGAGATGCTTAATTTCTGTTAATAATACTGTGAGTTTTTATTAACCCCTTGGCTCCCATGTATCCACTAGTGGATACATGCTAAGTACATTGATAAAATCCATGTATCCTCTAGTGGCTACATGATATATAATAGTATAAAACCACATGTAACCAAAGAAGGAGACATCAGACACTGAAATTTACTGTACTGGGATTGAAATACATACATATATTCTCTAGGCTGGGTTATAAGAATTGTTAAACTACAAATTTTCATGATATTGCTCAAAATGTTCACGGGTACAAAACGATTTTTGACATACATTACGTGAATGAATAGTCATTTTGGTGTTTTATTTATGTTATAACACTCGTAACATCTATTTTGTTTTTTCTTGAACCTTCCAAGACATTATAAACAAGTACATGAAGTTTGTCAGGTGTATTTTTAGTGTTGTTCTCATCTTTCAATTTGCATAATTATCAACATGTTTTGCAAGAATTTCATCACAGGCTAATAGAGTGAAATCTTTTAGTCCTATTTTGTTTGAATGATAGATATTATGAAACACATTGGCATTTAGAACATACGGCCGAATTGGGCAAGGTCATAAAGGGAAAAATCTGGGTCCATGGTGTGCGCGAAGGTAGTGCCGTCTGGGAGTCAAGGGGTTAAAGGATCTTATAATTTTTGTCCCAGGTAGCACAACATGTTTCCCGATATCGTACAATATTGTTCGATAATGTATAATATAATATGATATTGCACAATATTGCGAATATTGTGCAATTTCTTTGTGCTACTGGGGAAGGTAGTAATTCAATATTCATTTACCTTTTCATTTGACACAACTTTTTTTTTTACTTTCTGTAAATTAACAACATTTTACGATTAATTTAAAATCGTTTATTTCGAAATTTTTGTTTCAAAAAAAATATCTATAACTTCTTTAAAATCCAACTTTCGTGCCAATTCAAATTTTTGGATAGACTGAATTTTTATTTGCTCCCGTCAGCTTCGAATTAGCCAAGTTCCACTGCATTAACGAGAACTTTTAACGAAGTTTGCAACTTCTTTAAAATCCAACGTTCGTGTCAATTCAAATTTTTGGATAGACTGAATTTTTACTGTGGTCCCGTCAGCTTCGAATTATCCAAGTTCCACTGATTAACGAGGACTTTTAACGAAGTTTGCAACTTGCATAACAGAAATGGCTTGCCTATAATTTTAACCCACTTTCATTTTCTGCAGGAGGGCAGAGAAAAGATGAAACTTTACCTTCAAGAAATATTTGGAAAGAAATTGTATCAAGCAAAATTCTACGGACTGCAAAATCCATTGGATCCCAGATTCAAATTTGGCAAAATAAGGTAAGGTTTTCCATTAGAAAATGTACCATTTGCAATCCTATAATTATAGATAGTAGATTGTTTGTAGTTATTGGCCATACAATTATTATTGTATGATCAATAACTATAAGCAAGCATATTTTGATTACAATTTTCAATACAATCGACCCAAAGTCAAACTCGCAAGCAAGTACTTTTCCACCTCAGCCAACGTAACAGTATGTAGTAAACGTTTTAAGAAAACTTCGTGCCTTTATCCCAATTTGCTAAATTTCTGTTTAATAATAATTTATAATCACAGTTATATAAAACTGCGTCGTATCGAAAATACCCGGAAAAAAAATTAACCCTTAAGACTGAGTTTGAAAGAATGTTTGTATATTCTCAATCTTTAAGATAACAGCTTTCTTTTTTCTCCTTCTATTTTAACGGTAAATATAGCATAGGTATGTAATCATAAGCAATGGAGGGTAATAAGGAACCAGTGTGATTCGTATGTGAAGACAAAATTGACTGAAATTAGAGTTGTGATCCCACTTGGACTAGTGTAGCTATACCAAGTCCATGCGTCCATATACGAAGGTAACTCATTAAGTAAGTCACAAAAGATTAGAAAAAATAATTTACCACGATAAACACTTTGAAACAATTTTATTTTTCAACATAATCTCCACCAATGTTGATGCACGTATCCCATCGTTTCATCAGAGACCTAATTCCAGCTGCATAAAATTCTTTGGGTTGCTGTCTCATCCACAGTAGGACTTCGTGTTGAACGTCGTCATCATCTGCAAAGTGTTTGCCTCCAAGATGTTGTTTTAGTGTTCCAAACATATGACAGTGCTACAGAAAGCTGACTTAGCCCCAATCGATTTTCATCTGTTTAGTCCACTAAAGCAACATCTTGGAGGCAAACACATGACGACGTTCAATACGAAGTCCTACTGTGGATGAGACAGCAACCCAAAGAATTTTATGCAGCTGGAATTGGGGCGCTGATAAAACGACGGGATAAGTGCATCAACATTGGTGGAGATTATGTTGAAAAATAAAATAAATTGTTTCAAAGTGATTATCATGGTAAATTATTTTTTCTTATCATTTGTGATTTACTTAATGACTTACCCTCGTACTTTAAATAAGTCCAAGAATACTAAAACATCTGCAACAGCTTCTCCGAAGGAGGACCAGGGGCACTGCACTGCTGTTGCATTTCGTGCACGTGGGAAGATCATTTCTACATTCTCAAAGAATAAGTATTCAAGGTAGCAACTTGTGAAACGGGAGAATACTGTCTGTTGGGGCAGTGGTGGCGAACCTATGACCCACGCGTGGGTCAGGCACTAACCCACGAAGGCTTTTCAAATGACCCATGCGTTGATTTTTATAAACTTATTTTTATATGATAAAAGAGAAAACCGGCAATTGAAATTATTAAAAAATAAAGCATAAATATCTATTGTCTAATTTATAAAAAAATATTTCCAAATGGACGTTGGCTTATTTATTTTCTATCGTATCACTCCACATGTGACTCATGACGGTCGGCCATAAAATTAGCTCATATTCGTGAGTAAAAGTTCTAAAACAAAAAGGAAACAATTTTTTAGAGGATTTTGGAAGTGATAACAAAACAAATAATAATAATAAGTCAACTGTTAAGTTTTTTTCTGTTAACCATTTTTCTGTGTTTTCAAATTAGGGTTGACCGGGGGTAGTTGGTCATAGCGGCACGTTGGGCAGTCGCGATATTTTAAATACTTTTCAACATTTAAAGCTGCCATTCCAGACAGGTGTGAATTATCCCGCCTTCCTTCTTACGCACCAGCGTCATTGAAGAAGTAGCGTTCATTCAAGAACCAGCCAGAATTTTCTAATTTTTACTAAGCTGAATCAATTTCATTACTTATGAATAATAGTTTTTTTCTTTGGTTGTAAATTATAATTTCCATTTTTACAAATAATATTCAGAAAGATAATTCTTCATTATTACTTTAGCGCTTGTTTGCTTATCGAAATGCTTTCAGAATAAATCCTTCCACTCAGGGCCGGCCCGATCAGAAGCGGGGCCTGGTGCTTCGTAATTAAATGAAAGCACAAAATTAAATTACTTCGAAAGTACCGCAAAAAATATCTTGACCCCCCCCTCAACCTTGCGGAACCTTAGGCAGTTGCTTACTTTAACTATTTAATAATCCGGCCTGGGCCTTCAATGATCTCAGAGCCCATTCCGAACATTCCTAAATTACCATCAGTGAAATCAAGATCTTTCTTGGCCGTTTTTTCAATGGAACAAAGTTAGTTGGAAGTTTAGTTTAGCTGTATTAACGTCCCGTTTTGAAGCAACACGAGGGCTATTTTCAGACGGACCTCGCAATTTTGAACCGTGGCCAGATGACGAAGAAGACATCTGAGCTGGTACCTACCCTTTCCAAACCATACCAGCGGGAGGACGTTTGGCTCCTACGTATGATTTAACCTGCAACAGACCCAGTACTCGACGGATCTTTAGTGGAAACGGGTTTCGAACTAGGAACACTCCGGTCCCAAAGCTGAGACTTTACCACTTGGCCACCGCGACGAAGTTAGTTGAAAGAGGAGCTTAAAGAGTCAACGCAATCAAGGGGAAAGTCTTTGGAAGTTTGAGTACCTGGATTGTGCTAATATTTCCCAGTCAAGTTTCTAAAATTCGAAATATAGAATTATTGCCAAGTTTAGAATGTTTTTGCGATTAGAAAAGTTATTTAAATTTACGAAAGGAAACATAAATATTTTGTAAGATCTAGACTGACTGAAATTCCCGTTGCAGTAATAATTCAAAAACAGATTACAAGGTTTATGTTTCAGTTAGTTATATTAACGTCCAGTTTAGAAGCAACACGAGGGCTATTTTGAAAATGACCTCTTCATTTTGAACCGCCGTCAGATGACCAAGAAGACTCCTGAGCTGGTGCTCCCCTCTCCAACAGGCCCAATACAGGGCAGATCTTTAGCGGAATCGGGTTTCGAACCTGGAACCCTCAGGTTCTGAAGACGAGACCTTACCACTAAGCCACCGCGGCCTCAAGTACTTTTTTTTCATACAGCACTTTTCCACAACCTCCATTTCTACTCTCCCCTTGAGTTTCTCACATAATTTCATAACATGGCATGTTTTGACCAAATGGGTCCAAAATCTGATACAGATCTTCTATTTTAGTATTTTGACTACAGACCAAATTCCATTTCTCTATCTTGTTGCATGTTTGAGTCATTGTATTCCAATTCACTCAGATAGACAAACAGAAAAATTTCCTTGTGACAGAAAAATCCTTGAATTTTATTTGCCTTATTCAGCTCCCAGGAAAAGTACTTGATTTTTGTTGCGTCCTTGAAAAATAAGCAAAATGTCTCTCCAATATTTTTTGGGACAGAAGAGAAAACCAGTTTGTGACTTGATTTTGTCTTGAGAATTCCATCACCAGAAAAAGGGTGTTTATTTGGGAACGTTGTCAGACATCAAGCTCTTATCTCTTTGCATATTCAGACAGCTTAATTTGACAAGCAATAAAAGCTACAGAGGGTATTTCTCAGTCGAGTAAAATAGTCCTGCAATTATCATATTTGTTGTGAAGTTTGGTTGAATCACTGGAAGTAAATTGAAATATTTGTTTGTTGAATTCTAGAGGGGGATGAAAATTGAATTGTACTTGTTGTAAAGTTTGGTTAGATCACTAGGGGTCAATTGGAATATTTATTTGTTGGATTCTAGGAGGGGGTGAAAATTGAATTGTATTTGTTGTAAAGTTTGTTTGAATCACTGAAGGTCAAGTGAAATATTTATATGTTAAATTCTAGGGAGGGATGGCATTTAATTAAATTGTGTAAAGCTTAATTGGAATATTTTATTTATGGGGTTCTGAGGACCTTGGAGTTCTGGAGGAGGATGTGTCTTGAATTAATTGGCTACACAGCCGTGTATGATGTGATAAATTAGGTAACTGTTATTTATTTTTATTTTATTCTTCAAATCGACTGTTGTATCCTTTGATTAACCACAAAAAATGACAAAAAAGTGTCCGATGCACAGCCATACACGACACGACGAATCAATCAGCCACCATTCACCCGTCTCCCAAATGGACCCGTCCATTCAAATCAATTAGCCACCATTCATCCCGTCTCTCAAATCGACCAGCCCATTCAAAAAAAAATCGTCGATCCCATTTCCCCAGTAGTCAACCAAACAAATTAAGAACCTATCATCAATAATCAAAGGATACAACAATCGATTTGAAGAATAAAATAAAAATAAATAACAGTTACCTAATTTATCACATCATACACGGCTGTGTAGCCAATTAATTCAAGACACACCCTCCTCCAGAACTCCAAGGTCCTCAGAACCCCATAAATAAAATATTCCAATTAAGCTTTACACAATTTAATTAAATGCCATCCCCCCTAGAATTTAACAAATAAATATTTCACTTGACCTTCAGTGATTCAAACAAACTTTACAACAAATACAATTCAATTTTCACCCCCTCCTAGAATCCAACAAATAAATATTCCAATTGACCCCTTGTGATCTAACCAAACTTTACAATAAGTACAATTCAATTTTCATCCCCTTCTAGAATTCAACAAACAAATATTCCAATTTACTTCCAGTGATTCAACCAAACTTCACAACATATTGTATTTTTAAAGTAACTGATATATTTGAGTAGAAATTTGTTTTAAATACCAATAACCAATTTTCGCTGCAATGAAATGTTTTCAAAAAGTATGTTATTTAATTTCATAGAGCTAGGGAGGTCTGCGTTCATGTGAACACAATAACTCAAAAACTTAAATATCTAGATGGATAAAATTTGGTACACAGTTTATCATTAGAATTATAGATCCGTATCATTTTTACTCTAAAATATGTAATTTTATGGTCCTTGAATTTTCTTATAAAGGTCCTCGAAAGTCCTGGAATTTTTTTTCTCAATAAGAGTGGGAACTCGTATACCAAATTTCATTTGTCTGCCTCCTTTGTGTTAAAGCAAAAATCGTAGGATTGAGAGACGTTGATATAAACACTCTAAGTAAACTGGAATTCTAATCATATTTATAATATATTTTAATTTACTTAATAACTTCCTTTCAATTGATATTTCCTTATCATATTGTTGACAGTGCCTCACGCTTTTACGATTATGGTTTGATCTCCAGATGTTTTATAAAAAGAATTATTTTCTATATTTTAGTGCTCTAATGAAAGCGTACTTTTAAAAACTTTATTATTACTATTATTTTTTCTACTTCTCAGTCTTTAACCCTTAAGAGTGCAGTTTTTTGTAGTATCTAATTAGATGACGTCTATGAATGATTTCATTTTAGTTTATAAGTTCAAAAAGGGCATATTTCGATGCCCGATTGAAGCTCGGGTAAAAATGTTAACCCATTAACGTTCATTGGTTTCGCAGTGAAACCACACATTGAGTATTTTTTTTACTGCACATGGGTGAACATGATCGGCATTGAAAGAGCTAAATTGCTTTCGATCTCTAAGAGAAACAAAACGACGAGAGTTCTTGCACAAATTGATATTTTTTTAAATTGAATCTTCGAACAGTAATATTGAATTTTATGAAGGCTGAATAGCCTGAATACTCTCGTATACTTATAAATTAAATACATAATTTAAATTGCATTTCGATGATAACTTATTCGGAGGAAAAATAGCCTGTTACCTTTCATTTTTTCACTGTGAAACCACAAATTTCTTGGAACATAAAAAATGCTAATTTTTTTTCCTTTACTTATTTATGATCAACTACAAGTCTAATACTCATTTTTGAAGTAAATTTAGTAATTTTCAAAACGAAACATGTAGTGAATTTGAAAGGGTTAAGGTGCTAATATTATTGCACGATTCAATATTATAATTATTGTGGAATCTTGCAATTAATTTTTCTCAAATTTTTTACCAGACGGAGCCTTTCATACTGAATTAAAACTTAACAAAATTAGTATATTAGCATGAATAAAATTAGTAGTATTAATTAAATTAATAGTATTATCATAGGGAACATACAGCAGTTCAGAACTCTAGCACGTCAGGAAGCTAGAGAAAAATCGATTACAAAATTCCAGCTTCAACCAGACTTTATTTAACTTGACATGAAACAAGTCAAGTTAAATAAACCCGTCTTAAAATATGTAAAGGTAGTTATACTTACTGTGCTATCGACTTTACTAAACACTAAGCATGCTTCTGTGGGAATCTTAGATCCCTTCAACATGAAATACTGTGGTTACAATTAGATTTATACTGAGAGCCACAATAGCTGTCAGTGGCGTAGCAAGGGTAAATGGCGCTCAGACCGTAATAGGATTTTGCGCCCCCAGGTCGTCATCAGTGGTTTAGCAAGTGTAAATGGCACCCGGGTCATGGCATTATTTTTTCTCCTCCTCATGATATTTCATTTGAAAAAGTGACATAAACGGACTAATGTTTTGTGCCAATGTCACCTTCTAAATCTGGTGCCCGGGGCATCTATCCGCTTTGCCCTCCGGCAGTCACTACGCCACTGATAATTTTATATCTTGGTTGCACAAAATGCAAAAGAATAGATGGCTTTTGGAAGGTCCAGTCTCAGTTTTTATACTCATTATTCAAAAGAATTAAATCTCATAAAATTAGCTTTATTTTGCTTTCATGAATTCAGTATTGTCCTGTCCAGCAACGGATTCCGAGACTACCGCTTTTGGACGATTTTACACCGGAAAGGGGTGTCAGGCAATGAGTCCTATGAGCGCATTTCCGGAGTTCTTTATTAGATCACGCTCAGTAAAATGTAAACATCACCCTTCCATTCATCACTTTCGCCCTATTTAAATGAAAATAACTCCGCCCGGCGCATGCGCAAAAGCGCGGAAGGTTTCCGAATCCGTTGCTAAACAATACATCAACAGATAATGTTGTTATTGAAGGACATTAACCCTTTGGGTACATTTGACGAGTGAGACTCGTCATCTGCTTTCTTGGGCGAAGTTACGGTGGACGAGTCTGACTCGTCATCTGAATTTAAGAAGAATTATTGGCGCAAGTGGTCCTGCCAAATTATAATATCCGTGGGCATCCTACAAGTAGCGATGCGCCACATCGTTTGCAAGCGAAAAATTGGACACAATTTCCGGAGAGTATTCCGGCAACAGAATTAAAGAAACACCCTACAAAACGGTGTCGCGTATGTTATAAACATAAATTAAGAAAAGAAACCACTTGGCAATGCAAACAATGCCAGGTACCTTTGCATTTACTGACATGTTTTGAAAAATACCACACGGTACAAAATTATTAGACTTTAAGTTGGTTCTTGTTCGATATAAATATTTATATTTTGTTTCATTTATATATTTATTTATATTTTGTAACTAAAATGCTGTTTCAAAAATATATTTATATCACCAGTATAAGTATATTCCAAATAAAATGTATTACTTTTACATATTAATCCATATAGCGACAAATTAAATCCGTCCCATGGGCATAAAATCTTCAAATAATTCAGTACTCAGAAGGTTAAGCGTTAAAAGCAGAAAACTACAATCATATTTCCATCGAAATACAGCAGTGTACAAATGTTCGCAAAGGGTCACTATTTCCACAGCAAAAGCTGTGTGTAAATAAAATGAAAAACAATAACTTAAAATGCCAGCAGGGGAAAAAATTCAAATTATTTTAATCATTATTACAGTAACTAATTCACATTTGATTGTATATTTTATGTTTCATAGTATAACTCAGAGAACTATTTATATATGCATGCATACTTAAAAACATAATGATCAATGGTTGTTGAAACTTTTTAAAATTCGGTATCGCACATTTTTATTTTTAGAATGGCTTTTGTTCTATCAAATTCAAAAGCTTATATATCAATTGACGAACAATTTTGTACACTGAATTAAGGACGAAATCCAAAAATAAAATATCAGAACTCACGGAATGTTTTTCATCATTTAGAACAAACAAAAAGACCTCATAGTGAAATCTCTATTTTTCGAACGATGTCTTTTTCTCCAA